TTGTTTCTCTTATCTTGGCTTTGCAACTCATTACTTGACAACAAACGACTAATTTGTACCTTTAGTAGTGTTTTGGTTTTGGAACTTCTTAGAGTGACGCCTGATGAGTTTTTTAGCTTTAGTAATCGTCAATTGTCTTGCAAAAGGAGAGAAGTCTGATTCGTTATCACTCCACTCCCCTGGGAAGCTGTCTTCTGTTTCACCCCTCATTGTCCGAAGCACGAATTTTTTGGCCTTTCGCCTTTGCGTGTTGAAAATACCTCTAATCGATGTGACAAATCCATCACCTGCACTGTCACCAGGACTCTTCACCCACGCCCCTGAATCCTGATCTGATCTCCCTGACTCGTTTTTGTCTCTCAAACCGATATCATCTTTTGGAACATGCGCTTTGTCTTTGAATTTTTTCATCTACAAATACAATCAAACTAACAGAGTCAGTCAGGGACACACAATCCATATGCATCTTTATTTATCGCTGGTATAAATGGTCTTACTTGCATCCCTGTTACCGACTTGAGGACTCCCCAAATAATGTGCTTCTTAACTCGAGAGAAGAGTCTCCTCCATGTGCCGCTGAATTCAACACGATGAAATGTGTCCATCAACAGCTTCAAATCGTTCACAACAAATCTTGAGCCCTCGTAAGTGATCAACAATTCCACCTAGCACAAATTAAACCATATTATGACGAGTTTATTATAAAGTTTCGAAAAAACTATGGACCTTTTGCTTATAAATGAGTTCATCAATTGAACAGACCTGACTTATCTTGATGGTCTGGAATTGCATAATCTTTTTAGGCCTCGATTTCTTGTCTTCCAATGACTTTTCCGTCTTCTTTTCTTCGTGAACTGAACGGCCAGCCTTGGTAGTTTTTGAATCCTTCAGCTTGTTTCTTGAGGATTCACTCTCCATGGAAGATAGAACAAGCTCATTAGCTACAGATTCCGCCACCGTCTCTTCCCATGTTCTGTCAAAAGAGGATGTTCTTCTCAGTTCTGACCCTGAACTACGGA